GTCATAGGTAATGAGTCACAATTGTATATGCAAATGCGGTAGCCAACTGGTGTTTAAACTCAGCTGGTTCTGAAGCTTTCTCTTTTTTGTATTGCAGCAGTTTCAGTTTTCAGTTCAGTTCAATCCTTGTTCAACATTTATAAGCTCCAACTCAGACTTCATGCAAAAGGTGAAAATCAGACATGTGGAATCACAGAGTGGATCACAGGGACACACTGCAGATCATAATTAGTAGGATTTTTGTCAGGGCTCTGTGTGCGGGCAGGCGGAGAGGAGGATCCAAACGCAGCACTCGAACACTGAATTGTAACTCCAAAAAACCTCAGCTTTATTTGCTGGCAGAAAACAAAAGATAAAACTGAGCAATGGTACTGAACATGAAAAACTGACACGAAAACACACAGGCATATTCTGATGGTACGACGCGACACCGAGCATGGGAAAACACAGGGCTTATATACACAGGGTAGTAACGAGGGAATCGGCAACAGGAGGGAGACACAGCTGGGAGAGATCAGGGCTAACGAGACAGGGGGAACAAAGCTGCACACACTAACATAAGACAAAGACTTTCACAATAAAACAGGAAACATGAATCACAACTCAGAGACACGGACTCGACACAGAGAGACAGAAAATGACACATGGAACTGAACTATACATGAAACCACAATTCCTAAAACATGGATAACAGAAACATGAAACTCTAATAATAATCATCATCACAACAAGAGAACAAGAAAACAATCCATGATGCAAAATGAAACCAAAACATAATAAACTCAAAATACTGGGTCCAACGGACCCAGAACCGTGACAGATTTTATTCTTACACAAAGTCTTTTATTTTGAGATTTGTTTTAGTGAGAGTGGCATTTCTCATTATGCACTTAAACTGATATCCCCATTAAAGAAAAGTTATACAACTGATTTTGTCTATTAGAGTCTTAGAAAAGGAATACAATTTATCAGGTTAGGATAAAGCTGCTTAATATCAGTCATGTCAAATCCAGAAATAAGATATAGAAGAACAAGACTGCTTGAACACCTGAATTGAGACTAGAGGTTAACTTACAGCAAGAGTCCTCCTGAAATGTATTTAAGGAGCGCTAGAATATAAATGAGGGTACTTTGTGAAGGTCTAAAACACATATTTTTTGCTCATATTAAACAGGCTTATGCTCTCTCAGACAGCTTTACAAGTGAGAAGCCTAAATATAATTCAGTTCTTTCTAAAGATACTGTACATGATGCATCAGCGATGGCTGCGATTTTAATTCTCTAAAAGGTAACATTTGTTTAGAAAGAAGCTAATGAAGTCACTGCTACTGAGCACAAAACCAGCTCTTTATTTGTTAGGTGGACTGAAAAAATGAGCTGAGAGGGTTTTTGGTTTGTTTGGTTTTTTGATAAATAAAAGGTGCATCACACTTTGTGGTCTCCTTCCATGTGTTATTATGTTATTTCATTTTAAGCTTGGCACTGTCTTTTTTAAGGTATACCGTTATAAATAATCATGCTTCAGCCTTCCTGATGGCACGGTGG